CAGGGGTGTGGATGTGGATAGACAAGATCATTTTGCATGCACAAACAGAAAGAATATTTTAAGTTTAATGGGACAGCTAGCAGAGTGTATCATCAAATATTGCACAAAAGGATTTTACACTGAATTAGGAATTTAAAACTAAGAAGTTTCTGTTGAGCAAAATTCCTCAGACAAGTTTCCTGTTTTTTTATAGATACATTTGGTTTGATTCCAAATGTTTTTCTCTCTAATTAAGACTGTATCACTTCTCTAGCGCTCCTGTTTAAACTTGCATTTGGAGAATACACCACGGCACTAGAAAGAGCCAAATATATTCTTCTTTTCTTATGATACAAGCAGACTGTGTGCATGGTAATGATGATACCAGGCAAATCTGTACCTACAGATTTACACTGGGTGTGAAAAACTGTAGGATTAAGTTGGCAAGTCTGTATCTGGCTGGGTATTAGCCGAGGTGCATTTCAGCATGTGTGTCCTGACTTGAAAATGATACATTCATTTTTACACACACACACACACACACACACACACACACACACACACACACACACAACCACACACACACACACACACACACACACACACACTGTTCTGCTGAATGAACAGCGATTCTCTCATTAGCTTGTAGGCTCACAGCTTACCGAACAAGTCCACACAAGACAGGACAAGACACTCTTTTTTTCCTCTTCTTTTGATAGGCTAAAGTGGTTGCAGCTGTTTCTATCCCTCCAACTGAAGTAGTTTAATTACATTTCAGATTTCAGATTTGAGGCATTTAGCTGAGAATCTTATCCAGGTCAACTTACAATGAGAGCAACAGCAGATTAAGCTTCATTGCATGAATTATCAGCAGTTTGAAAACACCTCCCTATTCACACAAAATTAAGGCACGCCTCAAAATTAAGACGATTCATATTGTTCCCGACTTTACATTATTGTTAATGAGGGGGCATTAACAATAATGTAACGTTCTACATAAATTATTGTCAAAAATTACAATCGCTTTGGAAGTCAGCTGCTTAAGGGTTTCTCTTGTTCAGCATAATCACGTTGATCATCACTGAGTTAGCTTAACTCATCTCTGCCAGGCCGTCCTTCTTCATGATCTAGTTGTGCACAAACACATGATTTGCCACTTCAGTCACTCCAACTCTGAAGGTCAATGCAGAGGCACATCACCTGACCATCATCACCCATCTGCCCAGCTGTTCCCCAGGTGTCCCTAGATAGTCCATCCATCATCTCACAGGGTGAGACAGTTTGTCTTTCAAATCTGACAGCAGTCGGCTTATACTTTCATCCTCTATATGGTGCAATGTAACACAGTTTTTGGGTATACACACACATTGTGACTGACATACGACTCTGTATTCTTAAAATAAAAATAGTCTAATCCACACACCATCTGTGCAAACTTTATTTACAGCGTACTTCAGCTGAACCAAATCCACCTACAAGAGCAAAAGAAGGAAAGGGCTGCTGTAACTGTATCTCCAGTATATGCATTTCAAACCCCTTCGAAGCACAGCCAAATGCAACGTAATAACAGTTTGTTTTTTAACAGCAGCAGCTTCACTCTTATTGCTTGTGTGCAAAGGTTTCATAAGCATGCTACTTAATAACACGTCTCCAACATATTTACAGTTTAGACTGAAAAGTCTCAAATATGTTTCTTGTAGGTGTCTCACATAATTTCGTTTTTTTAATCCTACTGCTAGGGCAGGGGAGGAAACAAGCCACCGCACCGCTGAGACATCCAAGGAGTATTATGCTCCCCTCTCAACAGGTAAGAAAATCACATTAGCACACCACATCAGAATTCTTTAACAGATAGCGAGGCGGCGGTCTCCTTCGATGGATATACAATAAAGCGCCTGTAACCCACTTCTTGCTGTCTCATGTGGCGATTTTTGTAGAACATAACATAGAGGATGAAATTTACAGCTGAGATTTCAATCAGCGCTATAAAACTGCTGACTCTATATATGTAGTGCGCTATATATCAAATGGACATTTGAACACACCTCTAGTATTTTATAAGAGATGAGTTTCCCAGATCATCTGATGAACCACTCCAACTTTTTAAGTCCCAAGGAGTGCAATATACATACTTTGCTCCAAATTGTATACTCTGACTTCACTGCACACCCTTTGCTAGCACTGTGGTTTTGCTTTCCTGATCTTTTTAGTATTCTATCAAACAAATGTAGAAATCTACAGTCACGGTAGAGTGACAAGGTGAGTAAGACTGTCACGAATGATGACTTATCTTCCTGCTTTTGATTCAGTCTGCGATCCTTTCTGCCCACGCAGACAGAGCATGCTACTCTATAATAGTCAATACGTGCACACAGCCAAGCACACGCACCTGCTGTTCAAACCTCCTGTTTAAGAAGGGCACCCAATCAAAATAAAGTTGGATTAAAGGGAGAAAGATGGAGTTAAAACAGCTCTTTTTCAGACAGAGAATGAGCTGAGGGCCCAGTACAGGACAAATAAGGTTTCTTTCTAATTTAGAATCAATCAGAGCCACTACAGTACAGTCAAATAAAATTATGGGCTTGGACCATTATAGGTCAGAAGAACATCATCTTCTGGTGAACAGGAATAAAACTTTTCTCTCACTACGTCTAAATCGCAAAGTCTGCATTTGAGCCCAGCCTCCTGACTCAATATTCAGACCTGCTTGCAGGCTAAGCTCACTTCGGTTCAATACCTACAGCTGTAGGCCTCCATTGAAAAGCTGGTTGCAGGTTTCAGAGAAGCCTAAAGCTTGATTTATCCTACGTCGTAACTTTCATAGTAACTGGAAACTCCTTTTATTCCTACACAACAACTTTCCACAGTATTCGAGTTATTGCGTTGTGTTTCAACCCGCATTATGTTTCTTGGGAGGTGCACACCAGGTAGAAGGTTGCAGTGTAGGGTTAAAATAGGGTTCTGGTTATGGCATAAGTTACGACATAGAGCTGACGCAGAAGTGTAAGTCTATTCTGTATATATAGGATGATGTGAAGAATGGAATTCCTGTGAAGCAGCTTTTACACTAGCTCTAAATTCACTGCACTGTAACAGATCACACATACACTCACAAAAATAAACGTGCACTGCAGGTGGTCTAACTGCAACGTGGGTTTCTGCTGTGTACTCAGAACTTTCTGAAAGCCTTCATTCAGTGCTTAGTGTGCACTTTAGCAACAAGCAAACATTAACAAGGGCCTCGGGGAGGTCAGAGGTCTGTACGCTGGTGTTGAAGAACAAATAATGTGATTCGAGTACATGCATATTAATTTCAGAAAAGCACAAAGAACACAACAGCTTATGAGAGATCTTTCCTACTTCATATGCAGAATTTATTTTTTGTATTTTTTGCAGTTTCTATAAACACATGTTCCTTTGACACAGACTGCTGAGTCCCAGCGTGTGGTGGAGATGCTGAATATGTAGCAGTCCTCACACAGAAATGCCCTGCACATACACGCTGGAGTGGTACTTCCATCTAAAAATCTTGCATCTTGGATCCTTATTCATTAGATTTATTCAGGTAAAGTACATTGAAGCGGATGCATTTTACCTGTTGTGCCTCACAACAAAACAAATTCCTGACCCAGAACACTCTTTACAAAGGTCAGCTACAATTTATCTTAAGCATAGATAATCTTTTCTTGATAAATTCATACAGTATCCCTGCTAATTATGTGGTTTATACCATGTATGACAATCTCACCATATTCTTACGGACATTCGGTCGATTGTGGCTCAAGAGTTGGCAGTTCGTCTTGTAATCGGAAGGTTGCCGGTTCGAGCCCCGGCTCCGACAGTCTCGGTTGTTGTGTCCTTGGGCAAGACACTTCACCCATTGCCTACTGATGGTGGTCAGAGGGCCCGGTGGCGCCAGTGTCCGGCAGCCTCGTCTCTGTCAGTGCGCCCCAGGGTGGCTGTGGCTACAATGTAGCTGCCATCACCAGTGTGTGAATGTGTGTGTGAATGGGTGGATGACTGAATGTCCTGTAAAGCGCTTTGGGGTCCATGGGGACTAAGTAAAGCGCTATACAAATACAGGCCATTTACCATTCAGTTGGGCTGTTACACGATTCCTACATGTGCGCTGGCAGCTCTGTTTAACAAGGTAAGAGAGACAGGATCAATACGTTTATACCCCCAGCTACAGTGAACATGTTGCGGGTCTTTTGCATAACAGACGTCCTGCAGTGAACGCAGGGCATGGGTATCAAGCTGGGTCGAAAATGAACCCAATTATCTTCAAAGGAACCACTGCAATCTGATAACTGAATTAAACAATGATAAGAGCTCTGATAGTGGATACTGAGCGTGCAACACTGCATTAAAAAAAGGAATGAAATTTAAAATGACAAACTGAGTATTACCTCACAATTTACTGAGTTGCTCTGATAGGAATGCTGTAGGATTAGAAAACTGATTTTTCACTGATAATAAATCTACTGAAAAATAAAAGTTTTTAACTTGCAACACAGAAGACAACATTTAGTTTACTCTGGGAGTCAAGTCAAGAAAGGCAATCAGAAGAAAGTTGGGATCTTTGGTGGCATTTGCTCTCATCTCACCTTTGAGATGTTTTAGTCTTGTTTTTAGTCCACTGCATGGCCAAAGTATTTTACAGGTCAAGAATTCACCAATACATTAAGAGAAAGTGCAACGATTGAAAGAGCTCATTAGTGATGTTTAGGTCCACCGGAGGTATTTACAAAGAGTAAACACTTTCCCCCATCATTAAACTTCACTAGACTTTTTTTTCTGACAATTTGGTTGCTTTACTAAAGATTAATGTCAAAAAGGACTTTCTCATATTGGAGCAATTCTTTACAACTTTTTTTTCCGTTTCCATGTCTGTTTCAGAAACTCCTTCACTCGGGATTTGGGTTCATGATGCTGCTAAAACTAGTGCGACTGCCCCGAGCTCCGCAGACGTCCCGCTTAAGTCCGCCACGCGTACACAGCAGGTCATATTTTTACTTCACCTGGTTGTAGGTTGTCTCTCCTGCTACTCCGCCTCCCCCTGCTACCGCTCCTGGACTGAGCTCCGGCAACCTCCTCCGGCTCAACACCAGCAGGTAAACCAGCGCTCCCAGCCACACCAGCACCGCCACGGCCACCGCCAGCCTCCGACAGAGTCGCTTCATTTTCCGGTCAGGAGGAACCGGCGGCGCCCGCAGCCCGGCTGCTGTCAGAAGTCCATTTCACAGAAGCGAGAAAAGAAGTGAAAGGAGCGGACTCGGAGCCAGCCTCCACTCACTGACACGGCAGCAGCGTGCCTGGTCCCGCTCACTGTAAAGCACCGACTACACGCTCGCCCTCACTCTCGCTCCTTCAACTCACAGAAGCGCGAGCGCTTCTCTGACACGCCTGACAGCCGTAAGCGCGTGCGCTGGTGTGCGCGAGCATGTTATTGTATGTGTGTGTGTGTGTGTGTGTGTGTGTGTGTGTGTGTGTGTTTCGCTGAGGGAGTCCTGGACCCTCCTGAAGGTTTGACTGGGAGAGCATGGAGCTCCACCTGGCGACACCCGCAACTACTCCACTAAAGAGGAGCCCGAAACAAAATAACAAGGAGGAAGAAGAGAGAAGAAAACTGAGAGAAAACAAAGGGAGAATGATCAGTTAGGTCAGCATGACAGGCATTGACTGGGGAAAGATGTAGGCATGCATTTACTTGTTTCCTTGCTCTGATAGATTATTGTTTATCTGTTGCATACTTTTGGATTTTGCAGTTTCTGCTCAGCCAAGTTATCCAAGTTTGAGTTTATCGATAATAACCAATGTGGAAAACTGGCAGATTATCATAAATTAAAATAAGTTAGTTGCAGTTTCTGAAAAGTTTGAAGAATAGGAAACTAATATGAAGTACTGCTTAAAGGTACTTTGTGTAATTAACCTTGACAGAATGTAATTAAAACCTTCACCATCAGGGGGCAGAGTCTTACCACGTTTATAAAGCTGCTTTCAACTAATCCCAAATGCCTGATTTAGACTTCTTCAGTTAATCTTTTTAAGAGTCTGACATGTAACTTGTGTAAGTGGCCGACATTGTTGCTAGAATTTATACTTGCGTTATACGGTCATTTCCGTGTGTTTGTGCCCCGGTGTTTTGTATGTGGTACCAGCTGATAGAAAAATAAAATGTTGGCGTGGTTGGATTTTATCGGGTGTATACATATTTGTCCCTCAAGTTTTTCTACTTTGTTGTACATTCCCCCAAATCTATTCCATTACTGATTATTTCTCCTTATACTGCGGTGACAATTGTTATTCTCGCAATGATTCAAAAACTGGAGGGACTTTTTTTTTTGCTTGTTAGGTAAAATGTGTAAACCATTACACTAAAATTTCCCAAACTGGCAACAAGGATATGAGGAAGTGGCATGAGGACTGATGCATTCATCAAAATGAGAATCCTTCCCTCTGACCAGTGCCAATTAAATATGACGTTCAACAACACAGCATCACACATTGTTTATGAATGTTTTTGTTATAGTCCAACTACTGCTGTGTTTTATGATCTCAGAAGTTATGGCCACTTTTAATTAAATTCATTACATGCTGTAATGTTGTAAGACGTCATGCCTATTTTTAATAGCACCCTGAAACAGTGAAGGTAAGTGCAGTAAGTTTGATGAACTTAAATAAAAGAAACAACCTATGAGTAAAAAAAGACAAGTTCTTTAAAGAGCCCTTCTCCCACCAAGGTCTATGCGTCCTTTATACACTGAACGTAAAAATACTTCTGCAAAGAATCTATCTGTCCATCCTTGATGATAATGCCTCTAGCAAGCCTCCTCTGTCATCCGGGACAGAGGAAGCTTGCCATTATTTTCGATATCCTTCAAACATGAAGCGGTGAGATTGGTTTACAAATCACAGATAGGAGGATGAAGGACAAAAGAGACGAGGGTTACTGACAGGAGGACGTTTCAGTTATGAAATGAGAAAAGTTCTTAGTTTAGTTTCCATAGACAGTACAAAGGCTAGAATTTGTCACTTTGACCTTTATCTAATGTTTAGTGATGTCTAGTTATGAAGCCTTGAATTCAGTATTTTCACAGCAGGAGACTTGGTATTTTGAAACAAGAGAGATGGACTGTGAAACTGAGAACACCACACACCCTGAATAATCATCCATTCTGACTCTAATGATGACCATAATTCATAGACTGAACTTTATGTTTTATTCATTCTGACCTGAAACTGGTGATTGAGCCAGTACATTCATTATGAAAGTGTTTACTGCAGTGAGCAAAGCAGACAAGAGACATTTTAGACTTGTATACAGCTGGGAGTCCTTCTGGAACCAGTGGCATCTCCCCCTGCTGGTTATTAGAAAGAATGCAGGTTTGGATCACTTCCATGGTGGCTTCACTTATTTATACTTTCTGTAGTAGCTGTCCATTGCTGTCACAAGAAGCAGGAAAATTGTTTATTTGATCTGGAATGGATATGGGACAGTGAAGGTACTGGGTTTGGCTCCGAATGCTCTATTGACTCACCCCACCCTCTTTTGGTAGAAATTGATATTACACAAAAGTACGACCTGGCCCAAGTTCAACTTCAGCTAATATTTCTTAAATGTCATAGATGACACAAATGATTACATACAGGTTTTGAATATAAGTCAATATAGTTTTTAACTTTTTTAACACAGGAATTTACAATAAGTACATTTTAAATGAATCACTGAATAATATAAATGATAAATATTCAATAAATATCCATGCAAGGGCTCTGTTAGTCATTAAGATAGATTTTTTAATATATATATAATCCAGGCCTACTGGGTTATCACATCTCCTTGTCCTGAGTAGTTTTCTATCCATAAAATTAGTGTAGTAAAAATATTTTATTATTGCATTACTGCTATATTTAACCATGCTATGTCCCACTTTAGCAGTGAGTGTGCAGTATGCAGAATTGGTAATAAAATAAAAGCTACCAAATGTATGGGAGCAACAAAAGAGGACAGAGGGATAGAGGAGAGGAGAAAGTGCAACAGAGTGGGAGAAAACGTGGGAAAATACAAAGGAGGAAGCAAAGAACAAGAACAGTAAAAGAAAATGAGAACAAGTGGAAAAAGCTGAAATAGGAGTGATGAGACTGGAAGAACATGAGGAGGGAGGAAGCAAGATTGTATTTTTCCTGTTTTCAGACAAGTTGACAAGAATAAAACTGTCAGTTATTCCACATATCAGTTCAATAAATTATCAGGAACACTACTGAGCACTTAAATCCATCCTATATTTATCAATAAAACATGTGGCACAAAAATAAAACTGTTCCTTCTTATGAGATATGAACCTGAGGGAGAAAAAGATTTTTACTGTCTTGGTGCACCATCTAGTGCCTGTGCTGGGTAACGATCTGTGTATGTCTGTGAGTGAATCCAGGTTGAGGATGAATTCATATGGTCTTTGACCTCAGTTTCTATTTTCAAAACGGTGGTGTAGTTCCTCTGTGTTGCAAAAGTCAGTTTTCAATGAAACCAAAATCCAGCACTTGATCAGCGCTGACCAACTTGAATGTATGAACCAACTTGACCAACTTGAATATATGAATATACATATATATATATACATA